CCCCCCGCCCCCCAAACCCCATGAAAAAAAGCAGATCACTGTTTTCTCTGCGGATTCGGGGAGATCTTGACAAGCGCAGTCTAACCCCATAATCCAAAAAAATATTAAAAAAGAAGTGACCCAGATTTGGTCCCAACCAGATTTCCGGTTGGACCACCGGGGTTCCAACCAACCCGGTTGGGTCTGGTCCGGTCCAACTGGCCGGTGGCCGGTGCAGCCCTGCTTCAAAATGATCTTCAAAATAAGGCTTTGAAAAGGGTCACAATGACCATATATGAAGCTTCCTGTCCAAAATTTTTGACACTAAAAATGACTGATTAGAACTTAGTCAGTTTCTAACCTGAATTCCGGCTTGTAAGTCAATCACACTAGTTTTGAAATTTGAAGTCATCTAAGTCCATTCTGAAGGTTCTGAAGTCTTTGTTTTCAGTACCTTTTGGATTGAGGTTATCAATCCGGTTTGGGTTTTTACTAAAGTAGTAAAGTGTTAGGTAATAATAATAATAGTAACAAAGAATGGACTCACACGACTTCAGTTAGCTTTGCTTATAAAAAAAAGCACTTTGAAAGTTAACAGAAGTCTTGTCTTGTTTTCCAAAGACAAGCGGGTTCGTGAAATCTCGTCTTCCAGAACTTTTTCATGATCTACTAGATGTAGTTCCCCCGCCCCCTTTCTTAGAAACAGAGGTCCTTCCTATTGGTGAGGGAGCAGCCCCGGCTGGGAATTGGGCCCAGCGTCTTTACGAACCCAAATGTAAATTACTAAATTACGACCAGAGTGCTTCGTAGCTACTGATCTGGTTTGTTATTTTTTATTCTTCAGTCCTCATGTTAATTTTTTTGAAGCTAGTCCTGACGTCAGCTCTGAATTAACCTCATTAGGCTCTGACATCAATTGTAAATGTTCTGGCAAACCAGATCAGCCGCAGAGAACCCCCGGGGCCAAGTGGGGCATTTACGACTCCTTGGAATTTGCGAGACTCTTGTAAAGACGTCAGTCGTCACTCAAAAATACAATAAAAAATTCCAACAGACCTTGCAGGTTTGGCGAATGGAACTTCAAAGAATAGGTATTTTTAACGATTTGTAATTTTGTAGTATTTTAGTAATTTTAGTATTTTGTAACATGTCATTTTTAAAAAATTTGGACTTTTTTTCATATAAGACTTGTGGTTTAAGTGCTGATGCCAGTTGTTCTGAAGTCTGTTTTATAAATACTTGTGATAGCTCTGGATTGTGCTGGTCTCTGAGTTTTGCAGGTAGATTGACGTAGCTACTACCTTGCCGCTGGCCTTGCGCCCTTCATGGGCTGCCGTCTTTCTCTGATAATGAATGTATACTGGTTATTTTTCCGTCCCGGTACAGTCAAAGTGAGGGTGCAGAGAAGAGTTAGGGTTCGTACATTAGGTCAGAGTTAGGCTTAATTCTCATATGGCATTACGGCCATTATGGAAAGGGCGGTTTAATGGCCTTCTGGACAATTTCTTTTAGATTTCTAAGTTTTTCAGCGGATTTCCACCTGCTTTTCAGCACTTTCCCAGCTGTTTACTAAGTTAGGGCTTGGCTCACATTTACATGAAATACTAGACAATAGAGGGATCCTGTTGGCTGTAGACTTGTTCGGTCCCTGTAGAGTGTTCATAGGTTTTTGAGTAGCTTCTCGGTTGCTTATTAGGAAAGAGTCTGCTCTAGACTTCGGTGGAATGATAGACTGTAGAGGGACTGAGCTTGGATGAGAAGATGGTGTAAATTTTTTGTCACAGTCATGGGCCGGGCACTGCTTGGACGGAGGGCCTTGCCCAGCCTGGGAGCTGCGGCAACCTTTGCAAGGGATGCTGGGCATTGTTGTTTAATAATGGTTGCTCCTTTTTCCCAAAAAAAAAAGTGTGGGTGCGTTGTGTTCGGGGGAAGAGGGTTACTGAGGGTAGTGGCAGTTAGGCTCCTGTTTGCCCTTGGTCTGTGATTGTTGTTTCTGCTCCTGTGTTGCATAAGTGTGCGAATACTCAGCGGTTTCCTATCAGAACCCTTTGTGGCCTTGGGGTACATCTTATGCAGCGTTTGATGTCATTGTTACGGTCTAGGGTCCGGGTAGTTTAGCGTGGCGGTAGCATTTGTCGTCCAAGTTTTTCATTTTTCACTTTGTTTTCAGTCGTCGTTGATTTGGTTGCTTGCGTTCAAGGCCTGGGCTTGGCGAAAGTGCCTCGCTCATGGCCACTGCCACAATTTTGATGTATGGGACGCCGGGCACGTTTCCCGACAAATGTAATATACAAAGCGAACCCGGGTAATACTTCCGGTAAATGGGGGGGAAAAAAGAAAGTATGTCTTATCAATGTTTTGTATAACCTTTTCCTTGGCTTATTCTGAATTCAGTTTTTTTTATTTTTTATTTTTTTAGAGGGGGCGGGGGGGGGGGGTGTGTGTGTGTGTGTGTGTGTGTGTGTGTGTGTGTGTGTGTGTGTGTGTGAGAGAGAGAGAGAGAGAGAGAGAGAGAGAGAGANGAGAGAGAGAGAGAGAGAGAGAGAGAGAGAGAGAGAGAGAGAGAGAGAGAGAGAGAGAGAGAAAGAAAATTCCAACCGGGTGTAATAGGTGGGGTGATATGAGCATCCTCGGTCACAGACTGAGGTCGGGGCCAGTCACAAATGCTTGCCACCTTTGCAACTCCGGGCCTAATCCCTTCGGGGATACCTCATGACCCGAATACAAGATTCTAGTGCGATCGAACTCGCATTTCTCTAAGTTTATCTCGTACTTGTGTCGTTGCAGGAGTGAAAGTGTGGTTTCTACATGTTGGCCATGCTCCTCGACAGTCCTAAGATAAGTATATCGTTGAGGTACACGACAATGAACTTATCCAAGTCGTCATGAAAGACCTTATGTATGACATGTTGGAATGTTCCCGGCCCATTGCAAAGGCCAAAAGGCATCACCACAAACTCGTACAGATCGTTGTCGAGCGCATTGGCTCCTGCCTTCTTTTGCAAAAGGCGAGAGCCTTCCCGGCCATGTTACGCAGGAGTAAACAAAACACAATTGAGACAACTCGGGAACGACGCAGAAAAATTCCCGCAAACAGCTGAAACGGGCACGGTCCCATCGTCCCTTCGCCGCTGTAGCTGGGTGCGCCAGCCGTACTTCTCGCGACCTCCTAAGACAGGGTAGGTCCTCGTGGGCCACATCTTATCTTCCATAAGGGGCTGTCACCACCCTTAGGGGCTTATCCCTACGAAGCTGCTGACCCACATACGAAAGCTTCGCAGAGGTAGGCCAGCCGAGGGCGTTTGCTCAATCGCTGCAGTATATGAAACGCTTGGTTTTTGCCAAGTGGATCTGGACGCCATCCATTCCTTAGGGCGCTGATCTCCTAAGTGCGAAGCAGACGTCGGTCAACTAAGATAGGGTAGGTCCCCGTGGGGCACGGTCGCATCGTCCCTTCGCCGCTCAAGCCGGGTGCGCCAGGTGTACTTCCCGCGGCCTGCTAAGACAGGGTAGGTCCCCGTGGGGCACATCTTATCTTACGTAAGGGGCTGTCACCACCCTTGGGGCGTATCCCTACCAAGCTGATGACCCACATACGAAAGCGTCGCAAAGGTAGGCCAGCCGAGGGCGTTTGCTCGATCGTTGCAATATATGAAACGCTTGGTTAAACGCCAAGTGGATCTGGACGCCATCCATTCCTTAGGGCGCCGATCTCCTAAGTACGAAGCAGACGTCGGTCAACTAAGGTCTCAACCAAGCGTGAAACCCATAATTGCATCCTAGGCCCTTAGACGCACAATGAAAAGAAAGTTATGACAACCACACATAATTACATCAAAAGGAAACGACCATAATCAGTAGGAATGCATATCCAGTCTGAAATTATAACTGAAAGAATTCAAATAATCGTATGGTACATCCAAGAACACAATATCGAAATAAAAATCCGACCATCTGGGATTCAGACATTGATTCTGGTTCAGCCATTCAAAATTGCTATTTGTTATTTCTTGTTTGAATAAGAGGGGAAGAGATAAGGAGGAGGAGGAGTTGTTGGTGAAGAAGAAGAGCATTATCATCTGGTCTATGCTGGTGTACATCATCTTCTTCTTTCTTTCTTTCTTCTTCTTCTTCTTCTTCTTCTCTCCCTCTCTCTCCTCTCAGGTTCATTCATTTCTTTTTGCAATTGAACAACATTGTACTTTCTGATTAATGTGTACTTCGAAATTGGTCAGGATCGTGACACCTCAAATGCAGCCTATAATGACTAGGCGGGGTGAAGGGGGTGTTGTCAACACCCTAATAGAATGCGCCGTCATTATCTATGTATGCAGACTGAAGTTGACCCCAAATACAACTAAAATTACTGTCGGCTTTATTCTTGATTTATGCGTGCATCCTAGGCTACCAGAGTGGCCTGAGGCCACTTGCCCAACCAGGCCAAAAAAACCGAAAACCCTTCTGTTTTTTGTTTCAATTTTGGTAAAGAATTTCGATGTGACCCTGAGGCTGGAGTTGTTCAGTTTATTTTTCTGCGTAACATAGTTTTTTTTTCAGATTTTGCTGGGACCTTCCCTGGTCCTTGCACGGCTGGACCGCCTGGGAGAACACGGTGTCCCGGGCAACCTGGCTGGTAGCCTAGCGTGCATCCTTTTTTTTCCGCTTTCTTTTTTTTTTTTTTTGGTGCACAAGGACTAGGCCACTGGGCAGGGTTTTCAATCAGGTGTGGCAAAGGGTGATACGTAACTTTCACTGATGGCCTCCTGCATTCGGACAAAAACAAAACTTGCTGATGCAAAGAGTTTTGGTCAATCACCGTGTCCTTAAACCGCCAGTACACAGCCCCAGCCTTGCTGAAAATAAAACTCGTCGCCTATGAAATTTTCGGAGGCCCATAACGGCGGGCGGCCTCCGAAAAGGGGCCGCGACCGACATCTGGATGTACTAGTGGTTTAAACTGTCAGTTTGCGACCCCTGCCTTGCAGAAAACATTTCGTTCCCACCACACTGCAGCACTGCAACAATTGGGGGGGCGGCGCACACTGTTGATAAAAATCATCCATGGCCGGAGTCGCGTTTCGGGCCCGCGGCCTCAGGTGCCCGTGTACTGGTGATTTAAGAACTGCAGACTTGCTTTTCTTTAATTCCGATAATACTGTAGCAGCATCTTGTTTTGGGGTTGGGGGGGTGTGGGGGGGAGGGGCAAGATCCAGACGCTCCCACAGTGATTCGTGTGTGTGCACGCAAAGATCGACAAAAAGGAAACAAAGTTGTCTGTACTGCCAGCGAAGCCCATCCTGAAAAGGAGGCGACAAATTCGCTGGGTCCCATCCCACTGGCTGAGGGGAGAACCCAGAGAAGGATTTTTTATTTTTATTTTTATGGAACAATGCTCCAATCCATTTGTGGGGAGCAACACGTGCTGGGAACCGGGCGTGGCGTCCCATTTCAAACCATATTTGAGAACTTATACAGAACAAAATGAGATACCAGGGCCATTACCCGGCTTCAGCTGAGAATAACAATTACACCTTTTCTAAGGGTCATGAGCAATTACTAGACTATTCAAAAACGAGTTTCTAAAATCGGAACCAATTGGGAAAACCATTTTTCAAATGCAAAACAGAGTCACACACCACTGGAGGAGCGTAGGAATCGGTGCTTGTTCTTTCTTCCCCCGAATACAACGTACGGTTATTATAGCTGTATTTAGAGAACACCACCACATGGCCCAGGTGCCAAGTCCGAAATGCGTCTTTGAGCAGCTCAACGATGATTTTTTTTTAAACTTGGGACAACAAGCAACCTCGCAGATCTTTTCACGCAGTGAGCATCCAGTGGCCTATGGGCCTCGCTCCACTGCTCACCGAATGTGTAAAATGAGAATGAATCTTCCTCTAGAACATGCGAAGGTAGGTTGCCATATCTTTTGTCTTTTGTGCATGTGGAGAGTAGTGGAGCGAGGCCCTATGTAATGGAAAGTCCAGGAAAAGTAATAACTAGTCCCGATGGACTTCAGCTACAGGCGAATGCCCGGTGCTTGTCCCGGTGGTCGC